AGTTATTTTCCAAGCTGGCTCTATCAACCAACATTCCACAGTGGCGTGGCTTCCCGTGGATACAGTACTTGTCCACCCGTGCTATTTTCTGGCTGTTGAGTGCCAACCAGTTTGATGACACTAACATCAACTATCACTCTGGTTTTAAGGTGCATTTCTCGAGTTATTAGTGGCACTGAGTATCCTTTCATTTTAGTGGCCACTGATTTTTTGTGAAATACTGTTCATATCTTTTTGCCTGTTCTATTTAGTTATTTGCCTTTTCCTTATGGATCTCAAAAGTTTTCATAAATGCTAGATATTGGCCCTTTGTTAGATTTATACATAATATGTAAATGTACATATTATACTATTAGGGATGTAATCATACATGATATATACATTAGACATATATGTATATAGTGTGTTTGTACATAAAACATGCTCTCCTGGTTTGTGACTTAATTTTCTCTTTTGCTTTTCCCTTTCTCCATTGTTTCCTTGTTATACTTTTCTTTGAGTGGCCATGGGTTTGGAACAGGAGGGAAACACACACTCAGCATAATCCCTCACACTACAAAGAAATTTCCAAGAGAATTTTTCCTCTTGCATTTTCCCATTCATAGCATTTTTGAGCTTTTTCTAGGTAACATTTTGGGGGAATAAACATACAACTCTTTTGACATGTGAGTCATCCATTCTCATTTTTAAATTGTCAAAGTAAAATAATTATTTTTTCATTTCTTCCTCTGAGTAACATTTGGAATTAAACCAATTTCTAATATTCCTCTCTAACCTTAACTAACTGAATTCATAATTTATAGGTAATTGCATAATTTATGGGTAACTTGACAGCTGCTATCATGCTTAGCAAATTTTAATACCATTTGTTGGAATTATTTGCATAAATGGTATTCTGAGAGTCTGAGGGGCCAAGTTTTCATTTCGTTCTAATTATTTTCTCTCCCAAACCTGTTAATTTTACATCAAACTTAACAATAAATCTAAGTTGTTTTTTTTTTTTGCTCTCAGGTTAGATCTAGATTCTCTTAAGTTAATCATCAATTTTCTGTAAAGGTTTTGCTCCCCAGTGTACCCCTAGTGCCAGAGAACCAAGCATCGAACAGTTTTTCAAACAATATTTGCATAATGGATGATGTGCTGTGTAGATCCACAAAAACCTGGCCCTGTATCTTTAAGCATCTAAAACTGTTCACAGCCCACAGATCAATCTATATATAAAGATGTATTCTAGAAAGAAATCTAATCAATGCAGGCAGATTTATATATAAGAATGTTCACTTGATCACTATAATAAAGTTTGGAAACTTTAAACAATGTTCAACAATAATAAATTTGTTCAAACAATTACAGAACATCCACTTGTTAGAACATCTCAAAAACTCGATGTTTTCAAAGAAATGCATATCAGCGTTAGGTAAATAAAACAGACCACAAAACTGTGTATGCAGTAAAATTCTAATTTTGGTCTAGGGTCTCTAGGCACAGAGAAAACTGGAAAAGACCTGGCTATTCTTCAGTAGTTGTCTCCACATTGGGAACCACCCATTAGTATGATCACATTAGCTTGTAAGCACCAAGTTTCTTCACTCTGATACATCTATACTGAAGCATGGCACTTGTGAATTGTGATATTCAACAACTAGAATAACACACCTGAAAAACTAAGAATTCTTAATCCTTTATCAATAACTCATCATGTACCATGCATTCTAAACCTTCATTTGTCATTATATATTCCTGCTTGCAGAATAAGCAGCTGGCAGGCCAAGCCAACCACCTCTGCCAAAGGTGCTCAGGGTGCTGGAAATGGCAGAGGCACCTTTGGATGCCTGTCACTGCCAAGTGTCTGTGGAATCTCTGCCTTGGCTGTGCCAAGTCAACATGCAATATCCACAGCAGCTGAGTATCTCTGTCTGATTTGAAATAGATATATTTTCATTCACTCTTGGTAGATGGTCAGGCACAAGTCACTAAGCATCCAGCAATTATCTATAGTGGTTACATTTTGGCTACTTAAAGATGATTCAAGGGTTTGGAACATACATTTTCATTAACAAAGATTTGGATTCTGGGGCCTCTCTGGTGGTGCAAGGGGTTAATGCACCTCACTATGAAGCAATCTGCAGCCTCTGCAGCACGAGTTCGATCCCCGGCCGGCCAGGGAGAAAACCACATGGCACAGCAGACCTCTCCTGTCTTGCCCGCTGCTCCCCTCAGCAGCATGTCTGTTCTGTTCCCCACTCCGTCTCTGGTGAATCCTCTCACCCCCTGCATCTCCGGCCTGTACCCCAGCTCTTGTATGCATAAACAATCTTAAAAAAAAAGATTCGGATTCTGTCCTACTGACTGCCATGGTCTGCCCCTGTGGGAACTGGGTCTCCTGCTGTGGAGTCTGTGGGGCCTGATCTTCCTGGGCTATTCAGCTATAAGATTGAGGACGCTTCACGTGCCCTGGCAGAAATAGGAAGCATGTGTGTTTCCTCAAGACAGGCAGTCCGAAAGGCAGGTGATGGCACTCAACATTATTTCCTAAGATTGGCTGACATTCCCCGTGGTGACTCCAGGAGGAGGAATTCTCCCTTGGGGTCGAGTCAAAGAATGGGTGTGATGGCAGTAGCAGAGACTAGGAAACAGAACCTCACCGACCATACTGGGTATCCCCCTGGAGGTGGTGGTGTTGGGGGTAAGCCCTCTGGGAAGCAAGGGGAATATTACCAGGCAGAGGAGAGATTCTATGCCAAGCCCCTTCTTCCTCGCCCCCAAGGCAGAAGCCAGGCCTACAGCTGCTAAGTGTTTCATGGAAAATCCACCTGCCTCTTCATTAAGAGCCTTCACGTGCCTTTATTCCCCTGCTCCAGCCCTCCCGTGCTCCTTGGAGGTAAACCGGGCATTTGGAACCAGAAAAATGCTGATATCCACGCAGAAACCAAGGCAACATTTCCAAGACAGACTGAGCTGCAACATCACCAGGATTCAGGGGCCCCACTAACCCAGAATGGACAGGAACCCAGAACTCCCTCATTCATTTCCCAAACATCACATAAGCCTCCCGGGGCTTTGTTTGACCTGGGAAAGCTGAGGGAATGTGGCAAAGATGGAGCTTGAGAGCCTTCAACAGAATGGGGGCTGGGAATCTGTCCTCTACATCAATCATAAGTGACATTCCTTTCACAACCCACACGGTGGTCTAAAATTCACACTCATTACACTGCACACTCTGGGGTGACGGGGAGTGTGGCTTTCAAGCTTGGATAACAAAGTGAGTCTTCCCGAAGACGTCAGGGGAAAAAACCCAAATGCTATCAACAAACATCTGATCTCCATAAGGCAGGGAGGCTTTTGTCTTCCAGCATGTGACAGCGGAATGTTAATCTTCACGTTGGTGAAATCCCTTCTGTCACTGTCAGCTGTCTGGGTTTTCAGTTGCCCCTACATGCCATTCAGTCATAGACTCCAAGTGTGCCCCGCTTTACATAATTAACCACCTTCTGCAGTGGGTCACGGATAAGGAAGCAGCTCTCTAAGGAGTCGATCTTAATTCATCCCTTACCTCCTCCAAGAAGATCCAAACTTCTGTGCCAAAAGTCGACATGACAGGCTGGAGGATTTATACTCAGCCTTTGTGGAGCAATTGACTGGCAAACCTGAATGCGTGTTCTTAAGCGAGCCGCACACCATGTGATCCCAAAATTAAGAAAGAGGGAGTGAATTGCTAATCTTGTCAGCCCAACTATTTTCTGCCTTGATAACATTTGTCTTATTACACTTTGGGTGATGAAAGATTGTAATTGGCTGTTGACACTGATTGAAGGAAGGAGATGTGGGGTTTTTTTGGTGTTTTTTTTTTTTAAAGAATTAATTAGCTTGGTGAGGGGATAACAATTCAAATCTGTGGCTCGCACAGCTGCAAAACAGAAGTGAACTGTCAGAGAGTGTTTTCATCTCTTTCTTCCCCACCTGTTTTTCTCCTTTTGATGACATCTTTTCCTAGATTTAACACATTAAGATGGGTCCGCCACAGAAAGAGGGGGAGTCGGGGGGCTGGGGAGCCTTCAAAAGAAGAAAAAAACACAGCTTTTGGGATTTACTACAACAGAAGCACCGCAAACGTGTGTGTCATTTGCATGCGGTTAAGCGACACTGAAGGAAGACACCAGACACAGAAGCCAGGCCACCTCTGTCACTCAAGTCGGTTAAACCCGTCACAAGCCTGAGACCTGGCGGCTGGAGCGGGGGACACACATGGCTCCCGGCCCAGGCCCCATGGAGGCGACTGGGAGCTCATTTACAGCCTACAGTCCCGCAGGAGGCCGCAGTCCTTGAACCAGCAACACCACGCGGGGGCCCTTTTTACCCACAGAGCAAACACGTGTCCAAGAATTAGCTGGTGTGACGCGGCTGCACACCGTCACCCCAACCCACCCACTTGCAAAATGTTTCATGCTTCCCACACTGGTCCCACACTTTAAATGCCGCTGGTTCCATGGGGCCTCCCTGGGGGCACAAGGGGTTAAGTACCACACTATGAAGCAATCCGCAGCCTCTGCAGCACGAGTTCCATACCCAGCCAGGGAGCAACGCACATGACACAGACCTCTCCTGCCTCTCCCGCTGCTCCCCTCAGCCGTGTCTTTCACTCAGTCTGCCTGTCCTGTTCCCCACTCTGTCTCTAGTGACTCCTCTCACCCCCCACACCTCTGGCCTGTACCCCAGTTCTTGTATAAATAAATAATTCTTTTTTAAAAAAAAATGCCCCTGGTTCCAGACCTCTTGAACCCCAAGGGAGGACCGCACTCATCAAGCAAAGCAACCAAGGCCAAGCACAGGGGGAGCTCAGGGGTCACTGCACATCTTCACCCCCCTAGGTCACAGGGAGCAGCAGGCTGAGAGGATTAGTCACCAGCACCGCAACGGCTGGTCCTGGGCAGCCGGGGCAACCGCCCAAGTGGGGACCACGAGGGGGTGCGACGTAGGCACCCGGGGTGCCCTGTACTCACAAGTCCCGAGGGGCGAGCAGGTGAAGACGCCACCACCAAGCAGGCCGGCAGGTTTGGCTCTCGTCAGGGAGGAGCGGCAGGGGCAAGGGAGGGGGCGTCAGTCTCACCTTAAATAGGCACGCCTCGAGGCTGATTGGCCGTAAGGCGATTTTGGCTTAAAAGGGCCAAGAGCTGCTGGTCACTTTGGTTTCATATCTGGGAAGACAAAGTGAGAAACCAACTCTTTGCAAACTGCTGTTAGCGTTTTCTAATCTGGTACCCTGCGATTTGATTTTATGCTCTCGGTTAACACGTGCAGTATCCCCCCAAAACTAAAAATAAAATGTATATATATATATATATGTATATACATAAACAGTGAACAAACGGAAGATTTGGAAGACAAGGGCTTATGTACAGTTCTCAAAAGAAAATCAGTCCCTTGCAAAGTATGGCCGTGAGTATATACACGTGGCTAAATATATTTGAATTTTTGTATTTGTATTTTTTTGAGAAATGTATGTATTCAGATTTGTATTGCCTTTTTGTTATTAATTTTGCATGTTTTGTGATGTCCTTTCGAATCTCTCTCTATGACAAAATTGCTTTATGCTCAGTTATGCTTCAAAGACGTTGGTGGCACAAAAGGGGAGCATTGCATGGGGGGGTGGAAGGCAAAGTTAGAAATACCAACCATGGCCTGGTGCACAGCTGCTAACAGGACTATAATAAGCCTGCATATCTTGTTCCTTGCATTGTTATGAATATGTTAATAACATCAGCAAATTAATTTTATGGGCAACAAATATCCTCCCTTACCACTACCACTACCACCCCTTGTCATTTTATATAAGATATGTGGAAGTTAACTTTCATGTTTTAGCTTTCGGTTATTGGATATCACTGGGGAAGAGCACTGAACTAGTGCTGCACCTGGTGACTGAGGGGAGAGAATGATAGGGCGTTTATTTGCATGAGATGGTCATATCCTATTGGGCAGAAGCATGCTGTTTTACTTGAATTATTTGTCTGAACATTATATATTATTGTGTGATATAGTCCACCCTCCAGCCACACTGTGCTGGGTTGTTTGTTGATAACTCAATGGTCTCCCCATTTAATCCTAATCTCTTCCCCGGACCACTAGGACTCAGGAGACTACATTTCCCAGAATCTTTGCATGCGCCCTCTGGGGTCAATGCCTCTCATGATGTGGAAAGCAGAAATGAAACAGAAACAATGGGATCGCTCCTCTGTCAACAGGGCCAGACATGTGGGCTTCTGCAGATGTGTGTTTTATAGCAGCTCCTCCTTGCTTTTCTTGATGACTTCCTTGAGTGGCTGAAACAGCCCAATCTGCCTACCACCTGTGGAAAAATCAACCATTAGGTTAAGTTACTGCAGCATGGGTTTCTATTGCATGCAATTAAATCTAATTTTGATAAAATTTGTTTAGAAGGGATGCCAGCTAAGTTTTCGATTTCTGACAAAATTACATATGCAAACACATCTGCAGAGACAAATGTTTTCTAGAACTAAAATGTGAATGATACTATATCATTGATCCTTGTTTGAGAAGGAGGTTCTAGGCAATCCAGTAGATAATGGATAATGCATTAAGCTCCACTTGTGCACAGATGCTGAATCATTAAATATGAAAATTTGTAATGATCTTTGTAAAATAGTTATCAAAGTAATTCAGGAATGACATGTATCCAGGTTAATGACATAATTTAAATGCTTTCTGAGACAGAACTTGGGAGAAACTAAAATAATAGATAACATGTAACATTAAACATTCAGTAAAGTATAGCTATTTAAACAAATCATCGATACTTAGTGATTTAATTACCTAAGATTCCATACTGCATATTAGATTAACTTGAAAGTCAGGTGCTTCAGACAAGGAATAATGGGTCAATTTTAATGCGAATGTTTAAGAACCAGAACTGTTTGAGTCCTGCTTTGCTACTTTCTGGCTTTTATTTTTCTTGCTTGTACTACAGATCATAAGCTCTTAAAGTAAGGTGTAGAATAGTATGATGTCAGAAACATATTTACATAATGGTGAGAAAACTGATTCAAGACTAATTCTTGACATTTAGCCTGTTAGAAATTTATACCCAATGGGCAGACACAGGGCAAAAATAGACTACAGCCTCTTACTGATAAGATTTTAGAGCTAGTAGAGTGCAGTGTTTAAGAAAGCAGAGATTCTGGGATTCAGTCTTCATGGGTTCAAATCCCAGCTCCAACACACGAGTGATTGAAGCAAGTTAGTTAGCTCCTCTGTGCCTCAGTTTCCTTCTCTGGGAAATAGGAATGATTTTCTAACTCTGATGTGATCTGTTATGACCATTAAATCCCTAAGTAGTTGCTTATTGATTTTAATTTTTACTTTATTACAATCAGTCTTTTTCCTGGTCCCTTATTTAGGTTTTCTAAATTCCTGCTATGAGTGAGATCATCCGTTATTTTTCTTTTTCTTTCTGGCTTATTTCACTGAGCGTGATCCCTTCCAGCTCCATCCATGTTGCTGCAAATGGCATGAGTTTACCGTTTTTTGATTGCTGAGTAATATTCCATTATGTACATGTATCACATCTTCTTGATCCAGTCATCTATTTTTGGGCATTTGGGTTGTTTCCATAGCTTAGCTATTGTAAACAGTGCTGCTATAAACAGGGGTGCAGGTGCCCTTTTGAATTAATGTTTGTGTCCATTGGGTAAATACCTAGGAGTGGAATACCAGAGACACACTACGGGCTGGGGTGGGGGGGCGGGGAGGAGGGATTAGGGCCAAAATAAGGGGAGTGGGAATTGTATGGGGACTCTAACCAAGATGAAAATGTATACATTGTGCAAAAATGAAAAATGATGTAAAAAATATATAAAATAATAAAAGTCAGGGTAAATACAGGTTATATTCATGTAAGTGTGCAAAAACCAAATTTACAATTATATAAATTTATTTATGGAGCAAAAACCAAAAATCTACAAGTAGAGCAAGTGCCTCACATGGTAAACATATGCTTACTGTTATTAGTATGTCATGTCTCCCATTTAATTGCTGGAATGAAATCCATTATTTTAACAACATTAAAGGTTCTGGGAAATTGATACAGATGTGTATCTTTCATGAAAGAATGTGCTCATGTCGTAAGCTTCCTATGAAGCTATTATAGGAAATAATAAACATCCAGTAATGATCACCATAAATTCCCTTAGTTTTAGAAAGCATCTGTGCACACGCAGTCCGGTGCAATAACGAAGCCAGATGCTAAATCCTTGAAGTGCTGATTAAGAGACAATCAGACATGAACATAACTTAATTTTAAAGATGGGACGATTTTATTAATTTGCAGATAAAGAACATCACTGCAAAGCTCTAGTACAAATACTTGCGTGGCCAACTGTGCTCTTCTCTTTTAAAGTATTCACAGAAATACAATTCATTGATCTGTGTTCTGATAGTTGCTTGAAGATCTAGTATAAAATGGGAGAGACAGCGGGTCTTCTCCAATGTTCCCCGGCTCGTAGGAGCACTGCTGACCAGGGCTATCTCAGGCCCGACTCCTGCATTACCTGCATTTGTGTTTTGCTGCTGGTACCTAGTTCACAGGATGCCATGGAGGCATCTGCGCCACTGATGAGATCACACAACTGGATAAGGACTTGAACCAAACCACAATTCAATCTCCCCAAGGGTTCTTTTCTTTTTTTTTTTTTTTTTTAGGTTTGCAGTTCATAACATTTTAGAGGTCATCAGCCTCTATGCTTCCAGGACTTCAGAGTCAAAGTGCTTGAAAAGCAGCCGAGACCATTTCAACAAGCAATTATGGGCTCAGGACTATTTAAAAACATCAAACCCTCCTTCTGATAAAGTTGTGCTGTGATTTTTTAAAGTGATTAATTGTAATTATGCTATATTTGGTACAAAATCTCTTTTCTTTTCTCTTTTTTCTTTCTGTGCTCTGTATGTTGGGGCGACTGAGTAACATGATTTAAAAATAGACCAGGGATTGAAACTACTTTGAAAGTTGCATCCATGTGAAGATTTATTTAAAAGCAACAGATTGAAGATGAAAGAGCTGGCCATTGCAGCATTTTAAAAATCAATGTATTTCTACTAAGGCCAAGAGGCTTGAGAGATTTGCTACAGAAACTTACTGCCATGAACCAATAAAACCTCCAGTGAAGGCAGAGCCTCTTTAAATGTTTGAAGTAGAAACAGATCTGCAGCCCGAGAAGTGTTTTATGATTGACCCAGCTGCTAGGCTGGAAGACAGGTTGCCACGCACGCTGCTAGTAAAAGGCACCACCGCCCCATGCAAGGCAAAAACGTTGGAGAGCTTTTCAAACGGCACGCAAGCACGTGAGAGGTAATGGTGATTGGGAACACCTGAAAGAAATTCATCACTTTTATTAAGAAACAATGATTATACAATTCAAGATAAAAAGCAGGTGTGTGTGATGAGTTGTTTCAGAAGCTAGAAATTCGTTCTTTATAAGAAATCACAGTAACAAGACTTATTCAGTTTGTTTGGCAAAACATTTTATTCACACAATCTCCCTTTCCTCCTTAACTCTCTGCTCAAATAACTCATAAGGCTGGAAGCCAATGTTTGATATTTACACAGCTCGAAATCTGAATACCGACTAATGCCCTTTAGCTGTTCTACAGTCTCTGCCGCCACCCAGGCCCCGCCTCCCCCATCTGTGGTCTTTAGATGAAGCACAGTTTGAAGCACTCAGGGACTGGAAACCCACGGCCCCTCCTTACAAGTCGTTCTTTAAGAACCTTCCTCTATTTTGGAGGGTGCTGCCATTCTCTGAAATGAAAGCAAGTGAGTTGGGAGTGCCAGTGATACACAAGGATATTTTATGGTGTGGGGAATAACCATTGCTTCGCTTCCAGACACCTTGATGACATCTCAAAGACAGAAATAATTCAGTATGTCAGAGGTATTATTCCCACCTTTTCTTCTTTAAAAGTATGGGTCTTCTTTCATCCGAATGTAGACCAAGCTCCCCCCGCCCCCATCTCTGGTACTGTCCCAGCTTGCCTTGATTGAAATTGAGAAAATCTGCTAGGGCGGTTAGCGATTTAAGCAGATGAAGCATCTCAGGACGATGCTAAGAACAGGCAAACAGACAATGAGCTCCAAGGAACAGCCAACACAGACCAAGCACACAGGCTATGGCAGGGTCACCCCAGGAGCCTACTTCAAAAACTCTGAAGACTCTTTAATGCTATTCTGACAGGCACCTCCTTGCACTCAGCATCGGAGGATGTGAGGTGCTAAATATATATGTCTTCCCTCCTGCCACCAGAGAGCAATCAGAGCACAAAGCTGCCTGCTGATAGTACCCCTGGGGTGTCCTTCACCTGTCCTCCAGTCCTCCTCTGGCTTTGAAACTTAAGATTGATTCTTTGTACTTGCTTTCTTGCCAACCAGCCGATGAAGGACGGGAATAGTTACCTGGAGCCATTAGCAGGTTTCTTAGAAAGCTGAGGGAATAATAGTTTGGGGGAACATTCATTTATTCATGTAATGCAGGTCTGAAGCCGTGTGGGAACAAGCAATGTAGAAATGAGGAAGACATCATTGGTCTCTCCGTTCTCTGCAACACCTACCATGAGGAAGTTGCTGGAAACCGAACACACCAGTGAAAAGGGGCCTGTCTCCGGCCCTGGCTTGGTGGCAAAGAACATCCCCCAGCTTCCTGCTGGTTGCTTCCTTACCAATACGGCTCCACTTGTGTTCAAATGTCACTCCAATCAATAGTAATAATGGATTTTATCTATATTGACAGTTCTTTCAGCCTAAGAATGAACTGCCACAGGGAAGGTCCACTCACATTTTTCAGAAGAAAATTATCGAGGCCAAAAGGTTTTATCTGCTAAGGGTAGGACTACTTGGAATTCTATTTGCTGCAAGCCAAAGGGAAATGAAGAACAAGCGAAGGGTCTGTATTTCAGATCTGTGCTGTCTGCTCAGTGTGCACTGGGATCGGCTCAGGGCTTCCCTGCACTAACAGACCATTTGGCCCCACCATGAGCCTGCCCCCCAAGCACAGACCTAATTCATCGATTCAGAATTAACCCTGACCTAAGGCTTTCCACCTTCCCTCTCCATAGGCATTTGGCACTGTTGGGCGAAGTCAGCTAGAGAGAGTGAATGAAGAACAAAATAAAACCAGTTTTCCAAACACAGGGTAGAGGTCCCAGCCCTACTTTGAGTGTGAGAGTATATACACTTTTACACACCTTCACGTTCATACTTATCACACACACATGTTCACCTCCTCTGCCAGACATTCTTACACCCTAGTAGCAGGCTGGTAACCAGGTACTGCAGCATACCTCTCTGCAGATATAAATACCCTGTAGAAATCCACAAAAGCATCCAGAGGTCCAAAGAGTAGAGGCGTAAGAGAAATAAACTCAAGTTCAGTAGAAAACTACAGGAGGGAAGGAGGCTGCAATGAAGAAACTGGAGGTGGGGGCTCGGAGATAAAAAAAAAAAAAAAACAGAGGGGGCCTCCCTGGTGGCGCAGGGGTTAAAGTCTCAGCACTATCAAGCTATCGCCAGCCACTGAGGCCCGAGTTTGATCCCTGGCCAGGGAGCTGACCCACATGGTGCAGACCTCTCCTGTCTCGCCCACTGCTCCCCCAGCAGTGTTATTTCGGTAGATCCGCCTGTTCTGCTTCCCATTCTATCTCTGATGAATCCTCTCACCACCCAGTTCTTGTATGCCTAGACCCCAGTTCTTGTATGCATAAATAAAAAACTAAATCTGTAAAAAAAAACAGGAGGAAAGGGGTTTGAGAAACCACACCAAGATGGTTACTAGGAGCTTTTCAAAATGTCAGGTAATCTTTCCAGAAGAAAAGGGATAACATGGACACACAGATAACTCAGCTTTCATCGTTTTCCTCACTTGTAGTGCTGACCAAAATACAGTACTAAAGCATTTCACTTTGGCTAACTGGGCAGGAAGGGAAAAAAAAAACTAGTTTGAATTGTGTCTGAATACTTCAGATCTTGACAGAAACTTATCATGTGCATCAATGGTTGTTTTGTTTGGATGACAAAGAAAAGGATCAAAAATTAATTACTAATGAAAAATGGGTAGCGTCTAGAAGATGAGAGAATTGTGGTGAAGGAGAGGCAGACATTAAAGTAATTCAAATTCCCACTGTTTTTCCTGTTAGTGTATTTGTGACACCAGTGAGGTTATCAAGTGGGCACACGGGTGCGCGAGTCCACACACACACACTGTTTTTTTGGCTACTGTCATTTGCTATCTGATCTGTAGAGTTAAGGTGTCTTAAACACAATCTCTTTTGTAAAATTACTGTATTTTCTTCTCACAAAATTACGTGGTCTTGACCCAGACATTGCTCCTCCAGTTAGATATGAGACTGCCCCTCTACAAAATGTTTTATTTGCCCTTTTAACAAAGACTGAAATCAATGTCAACCTAAAGTGAAAAATCAGTTAACCAAGGAGAAGAAACAGTTAAAAAAATAAAGAGTGGTTGAAAAACGTATTGCCTACGGTCTGGTAGATGTGTTTCCTTTCATTCAACTACTAGAGAGAAAAGTCCATTCACAGGGCGTTTCAGGCATCCTGCTTGCTGTTATACGAGGACCCCAATCTACCCACACAGACCGACCCTCCTGTGAACCAGACCAGCAGAGTTGTTCAGGCTGAGATATACACTCTCAAAAACCAGACTCTAAAACCTAATGGACCCACTTAAATGCCTCTGTGTACTTCAACTCATTTCAATGACTTAAAAATGGCAACAATTCCCTCAGTATAGGGAGGGTGGTGCTGTGTTCAGCCAGCAGTGCACATGTGCTGCATGCACAGTCGGACTCTAGACACGCAGTGACCCTACAATCTGGGGGGACAGGCTCTTCCATGAAACAATCATCACAAAAACAGCTCTTGTTCATTTTGTTTTTAAAAGGCTATTTAACACATGGTATTTATAGCACCGTCAGTCTAAAGAACTCTGCAAAAGTCAAGGTATCTTTTGCTCCCATAAATAGGTTCATACTTAGCCTGCATCTTCCAGAAGAGACCATTACAGGCCTGGACAATGGTCAAAGAACAGAACAACAAATTAGTCTCAAGACTTTGAAGTGACGAAATGGTTTCCATATTTTATGTTAACAAAAAACTGAGGTTGCTTAAGTGACTCCCCAAAGTGACTGCCGGACACTCCTCTCAGAGCCCAGAGAAGAGCTCCCGACAGTGGAGTAAACACTGCTCACCATGGAGGGAGCCCCAGAGAGCTGCACCTCAACTTAAGAACACAATCTGCACCCTGCAAACATAAGAGGCCTTCGTGAGCAAGGAGAAACAGGGTTGGTTTATCTTCACACCACTGCCACCAAGAACATTAAGATGGCTTATAGGAAAAAAAAGCCTGGCAATTCAGTTGTGATTTGACCCAATTTGCACGCCACACCATTAATTGTACCAGTCTACTCACCAGGGGGCGTGACAAGTCTATCAGAGTTGACAGGCAGATCTGGATCTTTGCTGAAGAATCAAAGGCTTCCTCAACCCTCTTAGAAGCAACACTGCGCATGCCTGGCTGGGCCTAGTGGGGGCACTGCGGCTCTTGGGTGCTGACCCAGGCCGGCTCCTCTGGGCCCTGCTGGTGTCGCCATCTCAGCTCTCAGCTACTGGCTTTGTGTAGAAAATGGAGGGGAGACACGTCTCATCCCCTATTCACACAACCTTTCCTTGCTAACACTGTGCTGTAAAGACAGGCGGCAGGTTTGCTCGAAGCACAGAAAGGGGAGACGGGGAAGCATGACTTTTGCACAGGAAGAAAATAAAGCAACACGGGGGAGAGCACTCGCAGCCCTCCCGCTCCAGGGGCTCGGCTTCCAGAGAACTGCCCCATCCCAGCGCACTGGAGCAGGTCGCACCCCGACGTCACGGTGCCGCGACCCACCGGGCCTCACTGGTTCCTGACGACGATGCTGCGGCGTCTGAAGAGCACTGTGAGGGGTGCAAAGGGACAGAGGAACAAGGGAGGAGGCACAGATGACAACGACTGGAAAAGCAGAGACGCTTCAGAACAGCAACCAGAGGGAGAGTCTTGACCAAGAGCATGACTATGAGCCCTGTGGACTCGGAATACAATAAACAAGTACAATACTCAATATGTGGGTAACCAAAACAGGAGTAACAAATGAACAGGCTGTTCAGTAGTAAAGATCTGTTCTTTTTTTCTATTGCAGGACTGAGGGGTTCCTATTCAGAGTCCACAAATGTTGGTCTATAAAGTCATAAGTAATCTGAGAAGTCCCCTCCTTCTGAGCATTCTCTGGCTGGGGGTGGGGGGCACTCAGCAGTAACAAAAAGGACACAGGGGCCAGCCCTTTGCTCATGACAACACGTATTCCAGGCACACCTCACTTCTTCTTGTCCTCCTTGTGAGGCTGGCTTTTTCTGGCCCCCAGGTTGTTCCACACCTCTGTGTACATCAGGGTCCCGATGAAGACAAACACGGTGCCCAGCCAGTGCCACCAAGTGAAAGGGTTCTGGAAGTACCAGATGGAAAAAATGAGGCTCACGAACTTGCGCAGGGTCACGACCAACGTGACGGTGAGGGAGGCACATTCTGCGGTGAGGATGAAGACACCCCGGATGCACACGTACCTGGAAGCGTGGGGTTAAGGCGGTTTTCTGTAAATATTGACAGACGAGCGGGGAGCAGCTTCTGACCTGGTTCTTGGCTTAAATGCTCACATTCTAAAAACCAGAAAACCTGGGCTGGGCTACAGGTGCTCTGGGGCTCCTCCCTGGTGGGACATCCTGTAGAACGCCTGTTCTGCCATCCATTTGTGGCTCCAAACTTGAAACTGTCTAACACCCTATTATTCTTAGTCTGGATTCTTCCACAGGTTACAACGGCCACCTCCCAAATAATGACAGAAGGTAATATAATGACAGAAGTTAATACTTAGTTTGGGTGCTCACACCAACCCCTCTCTGATCTGGTCCGTCCTCCCAAACCCTCCAGGAAGGAACTCAATAGGGCCAATCTCCAAGTTGACATGTTTCCTTGTTTCAGAGACTTCATTGTTTTTATAGTTCAAAGGAACTATTTTAAAAATTTAAGTTTTAGTGAATTTGAAACTTCTCTCAGAATTTTGTGGCAGCTTGTGAAATAGGTTAGGATCCTGGGAACGTCCAAGCAGAAATCAGAACATGCATGTGATATACCAATTGTTCATTATCCTCCACCCCAAGCATTTCCCCAAGCACTTCCAGCGACCTGCTGACTGGCCTATAGCACCAGCTTCTCTCTGGCAAGCCACGCGGGGCCTCTGCAGAGATCTAGCCAAAATGAAACCTATGTGACTATCCTGTTAGAAAAGTAACACTCCTACACCAAGCCAACACAGAGGAGCATAAAGGATACTGGGTGATGACATTCATGAGGAGGTAGAACCACATGATGGGCACTGTCACACCAGCAACTGGGACTTGATATAATTCTGCAGAGATGAAGAGAGGGAGACAGTTGTATCACTTCAGTCAGCTAACACTAACATTTTCATCTTTTTGAACAAAGTACACAGACTGAACATAACAGAGACAGCAATGCTATTTCCCTTGCAGACAGAACTGGACCAAACACCACATTATTTGCCTTTATGCCAGGCTACATCAGCTTCAAGGGCCATTAAACTGGTCTCTTAAAACAAATAATAATTTGTTTTAATTTTAAAATACACTATACCATTTACCTGAATAGGACCGCACTTTACAAAGAAAGACAGTGAAGCACAGAGAGGTTCAAAATGATATGGTCTTAACTAACAACACAGGAGGAAAGACGGCTGGAACTAAAAACCACTTGGAAATACGTTTAATCCTGCAAGGAATCAAAGAATTCCAAATTCAGCAAGAAGGTACTATTTCATAGCCATTAAGTTAGCGATTACAATGTATGAATAATACTCCCATATGGCAAAGTGGAAGCGGAACTGGTAGTATAAATTGGTGCTGTCTATAAAGTTTAATTTCCTAACACTTATGAAGGCATCACAAAAGGACTGACATTCATTCTTAGGAGGTAATCCTAGATAATTCAAAGGAAGAACAAAGTTCTTCTTTCACTGTGGTACCATTTATAATAGTACCACACATAATAGACTAACTGAATCACTCTAAATGTCCATGATACAGTGAAGACTGTGTAAGCAAGGTACTTAAGCTAGATGAGGTGTTACACATTTGATTTAAAAAATCATAAAGATTATCAAAGTCCCATTAAGAAAAAACTTAGAATGAAAATGAGAAGGCAAGAATAAAATTTTATCTCCATGAGGATTACTGCTATGTGAGAATATATGTAGAGAGGGTCTGGAAGAAACTAGTAAAATCAAATTATCTGGTATAAAGGGCAATGGCACTATAACTTTTCTTCTTTTCTTCTTTTCTAAACTAAAAACTTCTTTAGTTTTTTATAATAAGGTTTTCACAGTAAATTTTACTGTGAAGAAAACAAAATATCCAAGATCAAAGAGAATAAGGTAAGGGAATGGGAATTGTGGAAGGGTGAGATTTTTGGTACTGCTATACTGTATTGTGGTTTTGAAATTTTACAGCATAACTTAAGGAATTCTAAGGAATTCTGGTTAGTAAAGGAACATGAATTTTCTTTTGCAAAACAAAAAAGTCATATAAATAAATAAAGATAATTTGCTATGACCATCTGTCTGGAACAGTGGGAAATCCCAATAATCTGGTACTCTACTGTCTTTGATACCCAGCAAGCATTGGCATGAAAAGAAAATTAACAATGTTATTCCTGTTTAACCACTTTGGAGATCTACTGAATCAATGAGCTGAGGAAAGAAGCAATCAGAACAGCTAAAAATTTTTAGCTGGATATTCTGCTCTCAGAAAACTCAAGGATAACAGGTCCACCTGAGACATTTAGCCTTGAGACAAGCAAGAGAAAAAAAAAGGCATGCTTAACGTAGGGATGATTCTAAAGAAGGTGAAGGCAGATTCTAAGAAAATTTTACGTGACTACCACCCCTGTGGCTTTTGGAAGCAGCATCCCAGTAACCAAATCAAAATCAATCCCCAGGCATTTGATTACAGGTTTTGTTCTGCAGCCCTTTGCTAAGTGAGTTCAGAGACCTCTTAAGGTTCAGAGACCTTAAATAGCATTTGTCAAAAATCAGAAATGACCCTCTGAGTAATTCAGAGCCTTAGAAACGTCCTTATTTACTATGCTCCTACATTTTAGGGAAGGCAGCTGGGAGATGCAAACTGCAAAGTCAGAGCAGCCCCAGCTTCACAACTCAGCACAGACGGCAAACGAGTGTCCACTGACCACATCCTGTAGCTCCGCACGCACACACATGGGCCACGTAGCTCTGAATGGAACAGTGTAATTTAAAAGTGTTTATCTGCTCCTGTATGCTGACCTATCTGGGCAACACTCTACATCTTTATCTTAGTAGATAATTATTATTATTAATTATTATCTTAGTAGATAATCAGATCTTAGAAATAATTTCTTTCAAGTTAGCTGGAAATTTATAACTCACTTATTAAATGACCACTTAAAAAAAGTAATAGTTAACTTACACTCTGGACACCCGAACAAACTTTGCTAACTCCTACACCTAATGAACCTGTGACTCAGAAACCAGCCTTGTCATTGTGCATGCTGCCTTTCTGGCTCCAGGGAATCTCGGTCTGGGTCTGCAGCAGATCTGCTTTTCACAGCAGAAGAGGATGAACAGGAGCAGAGGCGCGCTGGACGCTGCCTGTCTTCTCGAGGCCTCTGTGGTCTTACTGCTATTTGTTTGCATCCTCAAATCCTCCAACATTCTACACTCAAATGCAAAAACACAAATTCTAAAGCAAAGTGGGAAACTTGAAGATATTCTCTTACTTCATTTGCAAATAATTGAGGAGCGCCTGTGAAAGCTTTTGCTGCCCAGCTAGTGACTAATGGCACTGTCGTCCTGGGAGGTGGAATGGGGATGGTTTGGGCAGGGCTGGTGATTTAAATAAGATCATGAAAAAAAGCAGTGGTCAAGTGAAGAGTAACAGTGAGACTCTGCCTCAGAAACTGCCAGGACATTCTACTGGATAATCCCAAACTCACCAGACTTATTGAATAGAACTGCATGGTCATAAATATCAGAAGCCAAGAAGATGAAACCAGGAAGTGGAAGGGCATGCTACGGGAAGAAATATTTCACATAAATTTAAACGCAAAAACATTACAGAATAATTAGAGTAGCTTTACAAAGACTGAAAATTTTACAAGTTACTTGACAAGCAATCACCAAGAAATGTTACGTTAGACTTACTACATTAAAGGCACCCAGTGCTCTCACCACTTGATGACTTCAAGTACAGCCCGATCTATCTACCCCCCAGACTACCATTCCGGCCCATGCAAAGTCTAAGGGCTATCACTTTCCTCGACAAAAGGGAAACAAATCAAGTCATTCAACCCAAAAGGCTTTGTTTGCTCTTTTTTGCTCCTTTTGAGAATGGTGAAGCAAGTATAATGGATGTGCAAATCATAAAGAATGTGAAGGCAGATTTCAGGTAGTTTTAAAAACAAGTGGCAAAGGAGATTTAAGGACAATACAAGGTGAGGGAAAAAGAAATGAAGACAAGAATAAAAAGAGAAAGAGGAAGAAGAAACGGTAGATACTGCCCCCAAGACTAATTTGCTTATTAGCAACAACATCCTGTAATCGTAAGGAAGCAAAGCTCACATTTACTGAGCAGTTGTTATGTGCCAGGTACTGTGAACCAAATAAAATGTTTCTTTGTTTTCAAAATTCCCAGCCACATCCTCTAGCTCCAATTAAATATCTCAGAATTGCTTGCCTGCAGCTTCAGTACAAAACATTGGCAGTGGATGAATCTCTGGGGTTAGTTGAGTATGGAGGAAACTGTATCACCCTGCCCAGGAGGGGCTATGCTTTGGGCATTATCTCAACTGCAAGAGGGAGGGGGCAGAGGAAAGGAGGAGGAAGTGGCTTCAGATCAGCAGTTTAAAACAAAGCAGTGTCAGCATATATAATTGGCTAATTAAACTCTCCCTCAGATAAAGCCCATCTCAAGGACTTCTCCCACTTCATCCTCCCAAGTCCTCACTTGCCAATGCCCGCCTCCCATGGCTCGGTGCTCTGCAACTTATTTGCTTTTTCTAGGTTTCCACATTGGTTGTAACCCAATTTCATCTACAGGAACCTGGAGGTGAAGGTCTTGTCCCTTCAGGTGGTTCCTGGTGAGCAGACACCTTTTGTTCACAGTATCTGATCACTGTCCTCTCAGGCAGAGAACTGTGGCTGGGAATACACGAGTGGCCTATTAAAAGTACTTCAGTCTGTGAATTACAAAAACTCATCAGATAATACACTGATCCAGAAGGATGGCATAATACATTTGAAATAACATATTACCACTCAGTGATTTTCTTTGCCCCCAGGTTCACACAATCACTTACATTGTAAAACACAGCCTCCTTGGGATGCTTCCCAAACTGTTTGTATAATGTCTCCTGGAAAATACCCATCCTTGCTGACATGAGAAGAGCAAAAGTCAGTGCTCCGATACCTAAAAAACAAACATAGGTTACAAGTGTCTGCATTTGCTAATTTCCAGATGTTTTCTTAAAAGATATTTATTGGTTGCTAAAGGCCGACAGATAGTATAAATCGCAGGCATGTACAAAAAGTCAAATAAAAATCAAAATCAACCACAATATTACTGTCCAGTCCTGAATGTTATCTCTCCAGAAACATATATACACATTTATGTATATGTTTTATACTAAGACAGGGTCAGAATAAATACACAGTTTTATATCTTACTTTCTTCATGATTTTTTCCCTGGATTTTCATTTTTTTCAAAAATATGTTTCATGACTACATGTTATTCTACCATGTGGGTGGAACATACCAAAATAGCTTACAAGATGAGAATAGAGACTGGTTAGATTACTTCCAATTATTTCATCAATAAAATCAATGTACATTCTCATATGTAAATATTTAAACCAAACACTGACCATTTCCTCAGGATAAACTCTCATAATTGGAACTGAGACAAAAGTCGAGACATTTAAAAAAACTCAATAGAAAATGTTTTTCCCAGAAAGTCTGTGTCAATACACTGTAAACAATTTATATGAAAATGATTATCTGACTACACCCTTAGCAGCAATAACAATAATCGTTTATTATCATGCCAATATAACAAAGCAAAAAATAAAGAAGAGTCTGTTTTTGTTTTGCATTACTCTGATTACTAGATTAGTGAAGCTGAACATAAAATTACTGAACTTTAATTTTGTTTCCCATGAACTATACGCTCATATCCTTTGCAAATTTTTCTCATTGGGTATTTTTCCAATAGCTCAAAAAGATCCATGTTAACAATGGCAACTGAAAGGAATACAGTGTCAAAGGCAAGAAAGAAGAGTATAGCTCTTGCTCTTGCTTTTCCATTGTCAGTCTCACTCTGAAAGTACTTGGAGCTTCACCCCTGTGTCACACGTGAGGGCAAAACTCTACAGGAGTTGTCTAATTAATTCCTCAAAGAGATACCTGTGTTTAAAAAATTCCCCAGGAGACTCTGATGTCAGTCGGGATTGGGAACACTGCCATATGGAACAGCTAACTTTTGAAGAAAATAAATCCAAGATTTAGAAATAAGTTCCTTGGGAATTGAAAGACTCAACTGCTGAAATGTGTCCTTCTTTTGCAGAAGTTTCTACTCAGCAGACAGATTAAGAAGAAACAGATGATACTCAAGATCTGCTCCCGGAGTGTGACAGGCAAGCAGACAGGGGCCTTTCTTCCTAGACCAGCAACGACCTTGCAAAAACACGGGTCCATGTCACAGAACACATTCCCAGGAACGTGGGCATTTTCTTGTTTCATTTCTTGAACACTGAGGCTCAGGGATATATGATCCCAGGTGCCTCTCTCTTCCAAAGCATAATTTGTTTAGCCAAAGCTTCTGGCCAAGAAACATGTCCCTTAGGAGAAAACTCAGCAAACAGAACTACAGAGGTAATTAGCTTTATCGTAATTACTGTACTTGCCTAGTAACCACCATGCAAATGCCTGGAATCCATCATTCTCACTTGAGCTGGACTGCGAAGTCTAGGAAACAAGAAAAATGAGTGGGTACAGAGACCAGAACTACATGCAAGGTGTTTAGACTCAAGGGAAATAATTCCCTCCATTCCACTCTTTTAAAGACTTGAATCCTTATATTACATAAGCATTTAAATTTATTGTATCATTAATAAGTAGCTAGCCCCTAAGCCCCTGCTGCAAGCAGTGAATATAAATAATTTGTGAATGATTCTTACCACCTGCTTCGCTGACATGAAAGTGCAAATAAATATCCCCACAGACACCAGAGCAATGGAGGTATACTTGCATATACTGTATCTGCAAAAAGAAGAACAAGAACACCTTAGAAAAGCACACATGATGCTTATAGTCATATTGTGCAGGCGAGTATGAATATGATTGAGAGGCTCTGCTCATCCCCAGCAGTGTTCACTAAATTCTGTGCATAAAAGGATCAGGATGCTGATGGATTCGGAACATTGCTTAAAATAGTTTGTCCACCAGCAGACTATTTCATCAAGAAACAAACCCCCCCAAAAGACAGGCCAGATGACATTCCATCCTGCTCTCAAGAGTCCAAATGAAAGACCTTAACTGGCATGTGCTGCTTTTTGTGTTTTGGGGCGCCCAGACTTGAGTGTGAAGACACACTCCACCCAGAGGAAGAACGCAAGAAAATAATCCCATTGTCTATTTTCAAGGAGGGATTTTTTGTTTAGTCTCTGAATGACTTAAATGTTTTTAAATGTTGGCAGAGTTGGATAAAGGCAGGAATATTAGACTAAATAGAACTATTAGCAGTAGTAATAGTGACATTTCACATTAACTAAAATAGTGTCATTAGCTTTTCTCTCAGGTTCTTGGTAATAAACGAAAGGCTTCGGGCAAGAGAAGAGAAATTAAACGTACAGGATGGATCATCTGAGCTTTTCTTTTTACTTTTTTTAAAGATTTATTTATGGATACAAGAACTGGGATACAGGCCAGAGGTGTGGGGGTGGGAGGATTCACCAGAGACAGAGCGGGTAACAGAACAGGCAGACTGACTGAAATATACTGCTGAGGGGAGCAGTGGGCGAGACAGGAGAGGTCTGCTGCGCCAGAGACAGGAGAGGTCTGCTGCGAAAGAGGTCTGCTGGCCGGCCGGGGATCGAACTCATGCTGCAGAGGCTGCGGATAGCTTCATAGGTTATGTCTTAAACCCTTACGCCACCAGGGAGGCCCCATCTGAGATTTTCTAATCAAATCCTTTGTATAGTTCTGGTCACAGTGCCTCTAAGCTAGGCCAAAAGAACTGGCTAAGTGGCCGAGGGGAGGAACTAGAGGGCTAATGGTGCCATGCCAGAGAAGGGGTAGGTGGGGAGAGTGGACATATGAAAATAAGGGAACTCTTCAGTTTGGGAAGGTCAAAATGGAGAGGATGGTAATTCAGGCCAAGAAATACTCAAGGACATGGCTAAGGTAAACATAGATTTGATCTTCAAATCCTGGAATGAGGAACACACATGACAGGCTTCTATCCAAGGTAAATAAAAGGAGATAATAAGTTACTAATTCACCATATTAGATAGCAAACATACAGGAAACACACACACACACACAGAGAAAAGAGTCAAAAGGCTCACCCAGATAGTCAAGATGACACACCCAAAACAAGTTCCTCAAGAAAATGAGGCATCTCAAAGGCTCCTGACTTTGTAGGGCCGTGCCAGGAGAACATATTCCTTTTAAAGAACGTTCTTTTGTATCCCATGAAACTAAATCAAAGGTTGGCAGAACCACAGGTATGCTCAAGGTGAATTCCATACTCCTCATAACTAGGGGATCACTTTCAACACAACAAAGAATGTGGTGTTTGTCTGAAAATGCACAAGGAGATAAAAGCTTCATGACGAGGAGCCTAATGAGATAGGACAGCAGGCCTTTGTAAGACACAGCCTTGAAAGTCTACATTCCTACACTCTGAATGAATAACTACGATGCAGGCTGGTACAGAGAGTTCTAATACGGGGGCTGAATACTGACTACGTCAAGAAGATGGCATCAACTGGTACGGTTTTGGTCTCAACAGTGAAGGTGAACTTCCTTTGAGAAACATTCCCGACTGTGCTATCGCTTTCCAATACCCCTGCTCCTGGAGAGTGAGGGGTTAGGCTCAAAATGAACATGGGTGACAAATACTTTGAACAAGCACCCCAGGTACTTCTGGTATTTCTCATGCTTAATCCCAAACAGAGCTACCAGTGAGAGTCACAACAGTTCTGACACATTTCATTCCATCTTTTTGGCCCCTGGGCCTAGGCTAGGAATTATTTTTTTTTTCATTTGTCTGTTCTTTATTATGTTGTATTGATGGGGCACCTGCTTAAGGGCTCTGTCCCACAAACTTCTGTGGGGTTGGAAATGTACTCTACCTGAGCTCTCAGGATGGCTGCCATTCGTCACCTGTGGCCACCAATCACAAAGTGACTAGTGAAACTGAAGCTAAATATTTAATTCCATTTCATCGTAAATTAATTCAATTGAAATGTCAACTAGTCACAGGAGCTAGCAGGAATCGTCCAAATGGGTCACTGAAGCTCTAGAGCCATTGGTTTCATAGGTTAAAATAGTATTTAAGATTCAATTATGGCAAGAGCTAATTAGTTGTACCCAGAGAGAATGCTGCTCTGTCATAGGTGGGGTCTCTTATCTGGTCAACTGTCTCAGACATGAAGACATACAGATATGAAGAAATAAGGCAGATGATCAAGAGCAAACTCATTGCCACTATGAAAGAAGGAATCCAAATGGGCTTATGGATGGTGGGTCAGGAAGCTTCTACCACATAAAATACAAGTATATTGCTTACCTTTTCTTCAAAATGATAATTCCTAGAATCATGTTGGCAATTAAAGAACCCTGTAAAAGGAGACAACAGAGTTTTAGTAATCCAGAGAAAGAAAATAATGCAATTCAAGGAATTTATGAATGTGGACAGGGCTAAAACTGCTGGAAAGGCAGCTAGGATGAATAATTTGTAAAGTTCAGGTGTTGTTATAATGGAAAAAAGTATAAATTATAAATATCAAGTAAAACAATAAAACATTTTCAAGAGGACAATGAGAATAAAAATTATCAATTCTCAATCATTAGTCACAGCTGAAGCCAGGGCTCAGAGAATAAATTACAGATGAATTTTGTTAAATTCTCCATTTATCTAGCTTATCTGGGTTTTGAATGAGCTTCTCCTTATTAAATGTTAATGAGAGGCTAGGTAGGGGTCTCTCTCTTCTCTGGAAGGGCAACAAATAATAGCAAGTGTTTATTGAAAGCCTACTATGTGGTCAATATCTCAGGGGCCATATTAGTCCTTATAGTGGCTTTGAAATTTGAAATTATAGTGGCTGTGATATTTTTCAACCTTCGATCTAACAAAAACCTCAGACCACACAGAAGTGTTGTAATTCCATTTTGCATGCTTCTGCAACCCTAAACACATTCCCCTTATGGTCTTTCCTGCTCTTGGGGGAACACTGTCCTTATTTTTATATTCAAGTCAGAGATCTCCCACCAAATGTGAGATGAAGAAGATATCCTCCACCACTTGGGGAGAAACCTCTTTTCGTCAAGAATTTCTCTATACTTAATGATCTTGTCTCTGATTTAAAAAATAAATAGAAAAGAATTTATCTCATGTACTAGAAGTGAAAGTAACTTTATGGAAGAAGCAAAAAGGAAGTGAAGAGAAACAAGTAAAATAGCACTCATAACAAATTTAAATCCAAAAGTCACCAAGTGAAGGAAACTGAAGGTAAATCTGCTCCAGGGCAATTTTAACTTTCCTTTTATTCATCACCCCTAAGATCTCAGACAGATAAACACAAGCCGTCCATGCCAACATTTCTCCTTTTGCCCTAATTCTCAGATGAAGCCAGCATCTGCTCCCTCATTCACCAGACCTACTCTTACCCCTTAGACATCATTTATTACAAACGTTTCTAGTTCCCATGTGTTCAATCTACCCACGCAGGTGTATTTTTCAGAGGCACCGACACAGGTAAGCTGGCAGCACTTACAGATCTAAATATCATATGCAGGGGCATGGCGATGTTGAGGTTCAGCGCGTAGTTGTTCACCAAGTTGGAGGTGAAGAACATGGCCACCATTTTAGCGTAGTGCCTGAAATGCAGAGAAAAGCGCATGTCACAAAGAATCTGCTATTTGAAGGATGTCAAGTGTACCAGCAAATATCTGGTTTTTGTTTACAAGTATTTTATTTCCTCTGTACTGAGACTATATTACTCTTATAATGTGAAGTGAAATACTAGTGCATATAAAAATACTTCATAAAGTCAAACTAATGTGAAAAAAGATTGACTTATAGAATACAGTTCAAGAAACACTACCATGGCATTTCCCAGCATATTCTTTTAGTATTTTTCAAGCAACTTAAAAACAGAGTGCAAAAAAAATGTTACCTGCTAAAATTCAATAGGTTGTATAAAGTGAATAGGTAATTTTATCATTATATAAGTTCTATGTATATAGTTTTCATATCTTGTTAAAGAATTTGAAAATGGTTATTTATCTCATACGGTTCTATACTTATTTATACTATTAATTTTCACTACTTCTAAAGAAAAGATTTGTTAAATCGTGTGATTTTTCAACTGTTAAAATTTATCCCCCATTCTGAACCAGTGGCCTTAAACTAATGAGGACATCATGTTACTTGTACACATTTGTATTTAAAACAGGGCCCCAGAATTTTTGAGAGTTTATAGGTATTCAAAATATAATAAAAATGTAAAATAAAAAAATCAGTAACCCAAATAACCTAGAAAGATGAAAGGATAAATACAAATAATTATGAAAAATTAAATCATTTGAGTAAATTTAAAAAGTTTACATTTTGACCTAGAAAATATTTAAGATCCATTTCACACACATCAGGTTAGACCACATAACACTGCCATCTCTTCTGTAGGGCAAAAACATCAGCAATTTCACATGATTTAACCTAGTACAGAAGAAAGGTACAACCTAGTCAAAAGAAAATAAACATTTGAAATAAATGACTAAAGAATGAAGAGCAAAGGTAAGTCAGTGGAGCCACAGTCTTTGGGGCTCTTGATCTTAAACACAGATTCCTGCCCTTTTCCATTTGCACAGATCTGAGGAAGGTGAGTCTCAAGCCACCTCCCCTGACAAGGCACCACCTTTCCACTGCTGTTTATGTAAGGAGCGCTAGGCCCTCCCAGGCAGCCATGTGGGTGCTACGTGAACAGTCTGGAAAGTCTAAGAAGCTTTACGATGTAGAACACGGTACTACACAGGGGCAAAGTCACTAGCAAGAGCTATTTCACAGCTTTCAGAGAACAGCCGCTTGGTGACTTGGCAAGGTTTCTTGCTACATTTTCTTAGCCCTGTCTTGAAAACCTGAAAAGACACCATTTGGAGATAAGGAGGGTTCATCAAGGTCTTTCAGGATAATGAATTCCAGCCATTCCACATTGCTGTCTACATAGCACTGCTGAGAAGTCACTCGTGGGGATGAGAGACGTGAGCAAGATTTTAATGAAGGCCTGAGAGACAGGAAACACATGAGCCAGCACAACGGGACACATGGGGGGGGGGTGCGGCATGACTATAGGGCCAGATCAAGGGTGTCTCACTCTCACAAGGCAGGTTGGGGTTTGGGCTTCTTGGGACCCGACGATGACTACACGCTTGTGAGAGGGGCAAACAGACGCCAGGAGAAGAGAGAAAGGGAAGAGAGTGGAAGAAGGAAGGAAAGCGTCAGAGGAGTGAAAAACTGCCCGAGCATCTTCTGTGATGTAAATGCTGGTTTCTGGGGAGCAGATGCTAAAGAGAATGAAAAACAAACAAAAAAAAATTCAGAATATTTAGCATCACATTTGGAAATCCAAATGTATAATACTAATAACAAATTTTAGCCAGATTTTCCATATCTACCTGAAGATTAGAAAAACACTAAATCAAAAGGACTATACACTCCATTGTTCATTGCAGCCTATTTACAAAAGTCAAGTTATGAAAACAACCTAAGTGCCCAAGAACAGATGAGTGGATTTAGAAAATGTGGTACATACACACAACGGAATACTACTCAGCTACTAAAAAAAAGGCTAAAACTCCACCATTTGTGACAATAATAATGTAACTGGAGGGGATTATAACAAGAAAAGTCAGTCAGAAGGAGAAAGGTGAACGCTGGATGATTTCACTAATATGTGGAATAGAAAGAAACAAAATACAGGAACAAACAAAACTAAAACACAACAAACCCTAGAAATTTAACTGCAGTTAGATTAGAATCTAACCTTCACCAGAAGGTGAAAGTGATGGGCAGGGAATGATGGACTAGGGTGGGGGATTAGGGGGATTTTGACGGTGGTGGGTGTGGCGTTAAAATGGACATCTAAAGATGTGTGGACCTCTACCCCTAAGTCACATACAGTGTTGTAAACCAGTATTACCTCAATAAAAATGATTTTAAAAGTACATAAAATAAAAACAAATGGTAACGAATGCTAAGTAACATAGCTGGTCAGGCAATGGAAGAGTTTGATTGTAACAACTATCTATTTTCAAATAATTTTATGACAAAATAGCTCATAGATATTTTACAGTATTTCTACCATCTGTAACTTTGTCCCTTAATAATTCAAAAGTTCTGTGGCAAGACTATGGTAAGAGTAGAAGTACCAACAAAGACAAATGGATTAGCCTTGACTTGAGTCTTCAGATAGTCAATCGGAATGTACCTTTAAGGGTTAAGAGACCCCCATCCTAAGACTACCCACAAACAGAAGAGTCACACTTCTACTTCAAGTCTCTCCTGCAAGAATGCTGAGTTGTGGGCCTCCCCTGGTGGCGCAGGCAATTGAGCACCACACTGTGAAGCTGTCCACAGCCTCTGCAGTGTGGGTTTGATCCCTGCTGGACAGGGAGATACCCACATGGTGCAGCAGACTTCTCCTGTCTCACCTGCTGCTCCCTTCAGCAGTGTATTTCAGTCTGCCTGTTCTGTTCCCCACCCTGTCTGGTGAATCCTCTCACCCTCCCATGCATCTGGCCTGTACCCCAGTTCTTGTATAAATAAATACATAAACAAATCTTTAAAAAAAAAAAAAGAATGCTGAGTTGTCAAAACATCGTGTATTTTAAGAACAGCCCTGCTTTCCATCTGGCCCCACGAGTATAGCCATGCAAATATGTACCAATGGACAAAGATCTGGACAATAATTTTGTCTTGGCTTGTTATTCATTTTTTCTTTTAATTGAGGTTGTAAAACTCACCTAACTTTTTCTTTTAATTGAGGTAAAACTCACATAACAAAAAACTCACATACTGCTGGTGGAAATGCAAACTGGTCCAACCAGTATGGAAAGCCATGTGGAGGTTCCTCAAACTACTGAAAATGTAGCTACCATATGACCCAGCAATTCCACTCAAAGGACACAAAAACATTTCATAAAGATAACTATACCCCTATGTTTACTGTATCACTGTTTACCACAGGTAAGATATGGAAACAATCCAAATGCCCCAAAATAGATGACTGGATCAAGAAGATGTGGTACATATACACACTGGAATACTATTCAGCAATCAAAAAAGATAAACTCATGTCATTCACAGCAACATGGACAGAGCTTGAAGGAATCATGCTCAGTGAAATAAGCCAGAAGGAAAAAGAAAAATATTGGATGGTTTCACTTATAGGAGGAATGTAGGGGAACCAAATAAAGGATCAGGGAAAAAAGTAACAATAATAATGATTAAAAAAAACTAGCAGGCAACCATTAATAAGAGATATTCTGCAAGGGAGGGATTAAAACAGGGGAAAGAAGAGCACAAGGGACTATGGTGAAGGTTTAAGGGTGAAGTGGTGGTGGGAATTTTATGGGGAATACACAATGATGTAAAAGATATTAAAAAAATGATAATAAAAAACCCTCACAGTTTTTAGTGAACAATTCAGTGGCATTCAGCATACTGCCAATGTTCTATCGCCATCACCTTTATTTACTTATTTCCAAAAGCCATTCGTTTTTAAAAAGAAACAATACCACTCATAACATATTTGAGAGCCTTCCCAGCAAGAGGGCAGCATACCTACCTATGAAAAAATTGTGGGTATACGAAACCTTTCACTGCCTATACTCACACATACACACTGCTGTTTTCATTATGGTTATTTAAGTTTTGTGGCAGAAATGCTATTCAAAAATAGGCCCCCTGGAGTTTCACAATACTTTAAATTTGAAAATGAATTATTATTCTACCGATCTTTGATATAAATCCTATGGAAGGACATCTTAGGTTCTTTTTATACAGGTACCAGGAAAGCTCTTAACTTTTCAAATCAAACAAGAGTTGAAAGAATTCAGCGTGCCTTACCTTAATGGGATAGCTGGCTGCTTCCTTCCCAAATCAACTTCAAAGAGGAAGCCTTCCACAGCAATAAATAAAAATTGGGCGAATGTCACAATGTTCCCACATCCTGGTTGCTTCCTGTGGTGTGAATGACAAAAAGTCAAAAAGGGCATAAAAAAATGACAAGAAGGGCACTAAGACTTGTCATGGAAGTTCGGGACAGCAGGCAGAGGGCAGATGTCTATACCTCATCGTCCTTTATGAAGTTGTCATTGGATCACACACACTTAGCAACATACCTCAGAGAAGAATGTCAAGCTTTTAAAATTTCACTCTCACTAACTATGGAAGACCAGGAGTGAGAATTACTCTGATGAAGGGGAAATGTCTGGAAGTGTCTCGTGGGGTGGCTATCATCCACTGCTTTCCACTACTCTTAACACAGGGTTTGGAATACATTAACACAGGATTTGCACTCAGCAAATCCTGGTGGAATTCAATCAAAGCTCTTTGGTGATCTATGTAAAGGTAAAGGACTGTCAGGAACATATTTACAGGAAGGAAAAATTCCTTCAGACAGTCTCCTTGAAGCACTCGGTGAAAATTAGTTACTTAACATAGTTCTGGCATGTCCTCCATCAGGCTCTGTTCAATCACTGGAAGAAGTATAAAAAGAGAATTGGACAATTTCTTTTAGCACTTCATGTGTTAGGGGACAGGTTAAACACTGCAGGGATCCATAAATAAGCAGGGAAGACATTTACCTCATCAAGGAGCTAATTAAAGCCATTAGCCTAAATATGAGCTACAGGAGCAAGGGACTTAGCTCTAGATTGTTCCTAGTATGGTGCTTTTCAACTCGGCCAGGCTGCCTCATCCTCCCAGTTCTGACTGGATGAGCTTGGGGCAGGGTCTTGGAGTCTGCATTTCCCAAAGAATTCCACTTGATTCTAAGGGGCAGCTGGAGTTAAAAACCACAAGAGCAGTCTGGGGAAGAGTTGGGAGAGGTGCATGTGTAAGAAAGGTGCAGGTAATTCTTGCACGTTGACACAGGGTTGAGAACCACTGAGCTCTTTTTTAACAGTGGTTAAAAGTGCACAGGGACATGCAGGGTCCAGCCCTGTCATTTACCGTGTAACAGTGACAGTTAATTTCCCTATCTAAGTCTATTTTCTTATCTATAAAATGGGAACAATATTAGTGCCTATCTTACTGGTTTATTGTAGAGTAAATATACCAGTCCCTGAAAAACATGTAGCAAAGTATCTGCTAAGAGGGAAAAATAAAGCAAAGACTTCATGAGGGCCAGGAGTTAGGATCGTGTCTATTAGGAAGGTCTTCAATCTTAACAACCCTTTCAAACATATGTTGACCAATTTTTCTCATCTAGAAAACGGAAGACACATATTTGTAATGTTGTGAGCATTCAGTGGGAAACTATGGCCAAGCAGCAGACGTAGCCCAAAAGTGACTCATTGAGGTTCCCTGCTTTCTCTTCCATTTCCCTCTTTACCAAAAGTTGGGGCCAAATCAATGAAAGAACAACTATAGTGAACTTTTTATGCATAAAGTTAGGTGCCCGCTAGCTGGGAGAGAGCTCCCAGGGTGATCAAGCCCTAATTCCTGTCCAGGAAAGAACATGATGAGGAAGTCAGCCCTGGAACAGGAGCTGTTCAGAACCCAGTGAAACATAAGGATGGCAGAGGACCTCGTCCTCCTGTCCTGACCCTCTGGGCACAGCGTCTGGCCTCACTCAAGAACTAAAAACACAGGGATGCCTCACCTTAAGCAAATGTGAGCTGGAATATTAGGATTTTACAAAAGATAAAAAGCAGCAATTTATTTCAAACAATGATTCACTTTCTAAGTGGATTCTCCTTTTAAAAAGGTATCATAATTTTCAATGTTATCTTCATTTATGGAAATAGGTGTTGTTACACCCATTTTATCACTAGACACTAAGGCCATATGGCAAATGGTGTTTGCAGACTCTTTATTATTTTACAGTTCAGTGGTTTCAGTATATTTAGAGTTGTGCAGCCCTCACCATTATTAAGTTTTAAGAGAGACTGCCAAGAGAAACCTCCTATGGAGTCATTCCCCAGCCTCTCCCCTGACAACCTCGTCTGCTTGGTCTTTATTTCCATATAGGATTTTTAAATGTTCTTAAAATTACTTTTTTTTAAAAAAAAATCACCTTATAGAGTTTTCAGTACATATTGTTGTATAGCTACTAAATGAGACTATATTATTTAACTTGGCATTTGAAAATATCCAAGGAAAAATCTGACTCCTTTGTCCTAAACCACTTGTTTTCTTGAACTTTAGTCCCCAAGGATCACTCACTGCAAACAGTTTCTCTAACTTTGAGTTCTTTTTTGGCAAGAATTCAATTTTTTATTTTTTCAAAACAACATTAAAAAGAAGACTTGGAAAAAGACTAATTATAATAAAGTAAAAATCAAAATCAACACAACTATAAACCAGAGACACACGGGGTGGGGGGGGGTAGGATCAAAACAAAGGTGGTGGGAATTTTACCGGAACTATAACAAAGATGAAAATGCATACATTGTACAAAAATAAAAAATGATGTAAAAAATATATAAAATAAAAAAAAAATAAAGAGAAGACTTGGGCAGATTATGTTTTTCGTGTTTCTTATTCTAAATTTAGGAAACTTCCTTACTTGAGTCACCGTTCGTTCGGCACTTGAATGAAAAATAAATGGGAAAAGGAAATGTCCCAGGTGTGTGTCTGATGGAAGACACGCCATGTGTTGTCTAGTTGGTTGGCGCCTGTGTGAGTATCCTCTCTCAGGAGGGCCGTCGAGTCACTGATTCATTACTTCCATCTGCTCCGTGCACTGCACTGGGTTTTATCTCTGCTTATAGGTCCAAGGATAGGCATGCAAATGAGAAAGAAGAACTGAAATTTCTTTTCCCATTTGGGAAAAATGGTTTCCAATGTTCTCTTCTTCCTGCAAGTCACTTTAGCATTTTCATTTATAGTGAGTGCTGTACCTGCCACCTGTTAGGCACCAACTGGTACCCATGAAGCCATAGCAAAAGGACACTTCCTGCTTTATAAAAATTTATGAGCTTCTCACGATGAGGTCTCAAGATAACGTCACCAATACTGATAAGGCCAAATCCAGAAAGAACCTTAAAGACCATGTGGCCCTACCAGCTCTTATTTTATTGATCTGTAACAGCCATGAACTGCCCAAGCAAATTGGATCTAAGCTGCTATACAGTCTGGTGGACCACTCTGTCAGCATATCTCCACTTTATGAAAACCCACCACTAACGCAAAATCCAACTTACAAAAAGATAAACAAGGAGTGATAATCTATTTACAGATGATTTTGCAGAGTGTTCTACACAGAAGCTTCCATACTGCACCAAAACCTTCTGTGAAATTAGATTATCCACAAATTTTCTGGAACACAGATTTTTCAACCAGGAATACCTGTGTTGAACCCAAAGTTGCTAGAAAGAAGGGAAGCTGGCTGAGTGTACCTCCAGTTTTGCATATGTATCTCATGCAGCTCTTCATGTCCCCACCAGACTGCTAGTCTTCCCCTACCTTCTACAGTTGAGACAACAGACCGGGGGAGATCAAGTGATTTAGCTGAGGCCTCACAACTAGTAAAGAAGTCCTTTAGCTGTTAGCATATTCTGAGGTTATACAGCCTTTGGCATGATTTAATGGCACATCCAACACAAATATTACACTATTATTCTCTGACCTTCATTTCCATGGCTGACCTGATTTTATCACTTTTTAAAAGACTTCTGAATCAATTTCCAAGTGACCTTCTATTATTCCACCACACTTAAGTCAAATTTTTTTTCATTTTTTTACCCCTCACCACCTACTCCCAAGAATGACAAATGACAGGTTTTTAACAACACCTTGTGCATCATAAAATGCCAAGCTCTGTAATATAGGAAGTTAGTCTTTAAGTAAGTCAGTTGCTTCAGAATAACTTAAGAAAATAAAACATATTTTTCTAGTAGGCATCGCGAGAAGAACTGGGTGACCGAAACTGGGTTGCTTGAGTTCAAAAATAACTAGAAGATTGAAAAAGGTACTGGATTAAAAGTTTGAAAAATGTTGGCTCTAAAACTTGCAGATAGTAAAAAAACATCTAAGTTCTTGGGACCTATTTCACTTTCGGTAAAACAGAGATTATCTTTGACCTCTCATAGATACAATTGTTCTGACAGCCAATGGCGACGCTGTGTAGATTCAGACACAGCAGCAGATAGCACAGAGATATTTTACAACTGGGAAAAGAACGCCCAGAGGACAGGTAACTTGAAAAGGCCACACAGGCAGTGGATGGGACAGCCTAGACTGAAATTCCTCACTTTGAGATGTTGAGTCCTGAAGCCCCTTCCAGTCCGCCCGCTGTCTTTTCTGTAAGCTGCTCCCCCCTGCACTTTGCACATCACTACTCAACATTATCTGCGTGCCACCTCCATAAGGCGAACCCAGTTTCCTTTTGGGAAAGTGTCCTTCTGCAGAGCGTCAAAATGCAGGCTTCCCCACTGAATGACTTTAACATCTTAAAGCTGGAAATGCTGCTGCAGGTCAGCTGGATCGACCTGCATGAGTAAGAATCCGTTCCACTCCATCACTGAGCGCCGTGTCTGGGTCAAGCACTCATTCATAACCATCTCTGAGGCCAAAAAACAAGCTCGCGGGCCGCTTGAACACAAATAAAACTTGCTGTGTGAGGTGGACACCATAGGACTGCTTCCCGGGGCAAAAGGCTGTGCTCCAGGCACACAAGGGACATAAACAGGGTCAAGAAAAGAACCGGCGAAAGCCTGGGTTCTGCCACGAGCTCCCCGCCAACCACAGACCGGTCACGTGAGAAACTCCAGGCTTCCAGCCCCCAGTGTGCGAAAAGGGGGGGACAAGAGCACCCCCCACCCCAGGACTGCCCTCTGTGGGATGCTATGAAACTGCTGGGCGGGAGCGCGGACCCGGCGAGCCTCGGTGGGGTTCCCCACCCAGCCCCCAGCCCGCGACTCTGTGGGGTCCCCCCAAGGCCCCCAAGCCCCCCGCGCGCCTCTTCCGGCTTCCTCAGGGCGACCCGCGGGGTCACTCACCGGACCAGGAGCTCCAGGAAGATGACGTTACTGCAGCAGCCGGCGAACACCAGGCCCACCCCGAGAGCCGGGCGCATGGCCGGGGCAGGGGAAGGGGAGCGGGCGCGCTGAGGAAGCGCCCGCCTAGACCGCTACCCCAGGAAGCCGGGCTGCTGCTTCGGCCGCCGCACAGAACATCGCCGCCGCGCCCGAGGACCTCTCCGTCCCGTCCGCGGCGGGCTCGCTTCCCCCGTAGCCGCCACCACGTTGCGGGTCAAGGAGCTGTAGTTCGCAGCCAGACCGGGCCCCATTCATCCAAGGGGGCGTCAGGGTCCGGGCAATACTACATATCCCAGGATGCCGCGCGCCTTACGTCAGGCTCTGATGTAAGCGACTCTGGCGGGCGCTCCACGAGAAAGAGGGGCGGGTGCCCGTCATGCCTCGCGCGATAGTACGCCGCGGGGCTTTCTGGGAAATGAAGTTCCGACGCCGTCCATGCTGGTTTTGGGGAAGTCGCCAAGGTCTGGGAGAGGAATTCCTCCACCGCGGAGAGAATAAAGTTACAGGAGAAATAATTAACCCTCGTGACTGTTCATTAGAGGTGCTCTGTCATCTGAAGCAAGTCTCCTGAATTGAGTGAAAATTGAAATTCCTCTGAACGGCTCTATGTCTGAAAAGAACATTGTATACCAAGTTCTGGAATGGAAATCTTGGCTCAGTCATTAATCAGTTCTGCGTTCAGGCAGCTTCTTTGGGCTCAGTGTCATCATCGATGAACCTCAGAACAGTAATGTCTGTCGGGCCTGATAATTGTCAGCGTTAAAAACTATGATCCCCAAAATTGATGACTGGATCAAGAAGGTGTGGTACATAATACACCATGGAATATTACTCAGCAATCAAAAAAGATAAACTCATGCAATTTGCAGCAACATGGATGGAGCTGGAAGGGATCATGCTCAGCAAAATAGGCCAGAAAGAAAAAGAAAAATACCGGATGGTCTCACTCATAGTAGGAATTTAGAAAACCTAAATAAGAGACCAGAAAAAACAGTAATTATAATAAAGTAAAAATCAAAATCAACAAGCAACTATAAACCAGAGGGGAGGGGCGGAATTGTTATGGAGAATATAACCAAGATGAAAATGCATACATTGTGCGAAAATGAAAAATGATGTAAAAAATAGATAAAATTAAAAAAATTTAAAAATAAACTATGATCCTGGCAGAATGTTTTTTAAAAATAAAGATTCTGGCTCCCTCAATGTGCAGTGTAACCTAAGATTCTGCATTTACTACAAGTTCCTAGGTGACATTAATGTTACTGGTCTGTGGATCACGCTTTGAAGAGCAGACTCCTATAAAACAGATGGCTCTGGAGAACTCTCCCTCCAAACCTCTTCATTGGCTCAGGCACCTTGTGCCAGCTAAGCTATCCTTCAGCTCCTCCTTGCTCATGGCCTATAATCATGCTCAAACCTCCTTATTACTACTTCATGTACCAACAACTATCTTTAAAAAGTAATCCGTATTCATAATCTCTCCTTTGATAGCCCCAATCAGTTTCTCAAATTGCTCTGTCAAAGTCAGATAATTGAAGGTAGTCTCATTATAAGCCCTAATGACCTCTTCATTGTCAAAACCATATACCACAACCCATGTTGGCAGAGGAGAAATGTGAAGGATCCAGTCCCAGCCCCACATACAAGGCTGTGAAGAGTGGAGCTGGTGCCACGACACTGCACCCCCACAACTAGCACACCTCAAGTCAGCTTCCAGCCTTTGGGTTGTTTTGCCATAAAACCAAAGTTATAAAGGGTAGGTGTGACTTCACCCACCAGAATTTTTTCTTTGTTTTTTGCTGAGTTCAAAATTCCAGCATCTGTGAACATACAGCATCATATGAGACAGCTGGAGGGCTGCAGTGTCCAAACCATACCACCCTCTTCCCTGGTGAGGGTGTCCCTGGGGAAGTTCACTGTCTTTAAACCAGTGTTGTCAGCAGGAAAAGCTGTCAAGGTTGTCTTTAAAATCTTTTTTGCTTTAAATGACTTTCATTTCAGCCACTCGGACTTATTTTGAATAAGTTATAAAATCCACTTAACCAAGTTTTGGACAAAAATTTAGGTATGATGAGTCCTGTGGGGGACTGCTTGAAATTGTGTGTCTTCAAGTTGACAATCCTCAGAGAGTTGTCACTTGATTTTTAAAAAAATTTTTTCATGGCGTTATCACATGGAGATGATTTTGTCACCCATGTATCGCATCAACCTTAAGTTGCTCGGAGCTGTGTACAGGAAAGGCACACTGAATATGTTTAAGGTATTATTAGAAAGTCAAAACATTTGTGTTGCTTATTTCAAAGATCAGTCTCAAATAATGAATGTATTGATAGATTTATGTCATCTAGCTTCTTCAAGAATGCTATTCAAAGACAGATTTTCTTTTCCAAAGTACTTTAATTAAGAGGCATAGAGTTTGGGCCAGGAAAGAAACTTGCTTGACCAGAATATTAGTGGCACAAGGTGAAGGGATTTGTGTTATTAGTCACAGTCTGCTCCACATCTGGATGGCATCTGGTTCATAGAAGATGCTTAATCAATACATAATGGTCAAAAGATAGGAAGGAATGGAGGGTGGTAGCATGAAAGGACAGATGGAGGGACAGAGAGAGGGGAGGGAGGTTGGGTAGGAGGAAGAAAGACCTTGAAAAAAATCAACTCCTTTTGGGGGGTTGGTATATACAAAAAAGGAGAGAAGCTGAGGATGGTACCTACCATGGGAGAAATGACTAAAAAGAATCACCTGAAGGTGTAGAGCATAGAGTTATGGGAGAGATGGGAAAGGCAGGAACTGGGAGAATGTTTCATAAGAACACAGTCTTGTTCTTTTTAATGAGAACATAATATCTCACTTACAAATTTGCCATCTTTTATTTTATTTCTGTTGTATCTTCAGGTTATTTCTTTTCTCTTGCTCTAACAAACAGCACTGCATTGAATATCAATGGCGTGGCTTTTTGAGTAAATGAGATAGGTAGACAACTAGCCATTACTTAGCTATGAAACATAGTTGTTAATTGACTTACTGACGTTTTAGATTCAAAATTGTAGCATTAACAGTACCAAGTGGCTATTTCTATCTTAATCTTCTTCCTAAGACCACATAGTTTAAAACAAATCAAAAAAGCTAATTTAATACAAAACCAACTATTTCACAAGACCAACGATTATATCACATACCTCCCATATTGTCTGAAAACTATGACCTAACAGTAATTACTCATAGATTTAACATCACTAAGAAATAAATGTGAGTACTACAAAAGCAAGATTCCAACAAAGTAGAAATGCCAGACAACTTCAATTTGAAAATTGAAAATTGTCATACTCAATAATTAAAAATGGAAATCGTTGTGCAGTTCCCTGCTTAATCAACTATAACATAGATATCCTTATCTTGTGGACATGACTTTGAGCATTCATTACTGAGTCATGGCCCTGATACTAAATGTCCCTCCTGCCCCACCTCCATTTCCCTGCCCATTTCTCTGCTCACTGAAGACTGGTTGTTGTTTCTCCAGCACCCTTTAGTGTCCTGTGCTCACACCCCTTGGATCACTTCACACAGGGTATTGAAAATGATGTTTCCTTGTCTTTCTCCTCCATCCCCTCCCCCACTTATGTCTACGTCAACTCCGTGAGGGCAGGAATGATGTTCTTGTCACTTTTCTGTACTCAGTTCCCAACAACAGTGCCTAGCTTACCATAGTCACCCATAAATGTTTGTTGAATGAATGAATTTTTGAATAAATAAGCCAAGGAATGAGAAAATAGATTCCTACATTTCTTTTGTGACTTTTCCCCTCTACTTTTTATAGTTCTCATTTTCTCTTCTTTCGGACCGTTGCTCTCTTTCCATTCAGTAAGTTGGCTTTTGACCACTATCCCTTCCCACCCTCTGTAACCTGAGAAACCTGACTGACTGAGCGTGTGATTGGGTTTAAAACAAGTAAGGAATGGAGAACTCTCCATGATTCAAGTTTATAGCTTTAGTGCATAATCTTTCTGACAGGTGCTTTGGGAATTCAAAGACATATTTTGTTTTCCTTCTGGTTCTTGGTTCTGAATAGCGCTGTCAGTCAGCTGATGGCTAGGTTAGAGAGTTATTGCTGTTTTGTAAGTCTACAAGAATTCATCGAGTCAAGTTATATGGTCAACACAGTGCTGGGGAGACTGGAATTATACATCACAAGACCTGCACCTGCTAAGAGTTTATTACATGTTTGTTGAATAATAAAGAAAAAGTGTATAGTATGGCTTCACTGCCCTCAATAATAGCAGCTAATATATGGAGCACTTACTCAATGCCAGGCAATTTACTCAGATAATCTCATTTACTCTTTATCAAAATCCATTGAGATAGGCATTTTTATGATATCCATTGTGTAGAAGAATTTAAGGCTTAGAGATTTTAAGACTTCTGCAAAGTTGTGATCTAATACTCAGATTAGCCTGATATTAGCAACCCCAGTCATAACTGCTCTCCTCCATTGACCTAAGAGGTCTTCAAATTCATCAAAGAGGAAAGAGAAACACTCACGAAACCACCAAGGTTTCTTGAAACACTCCAAGTCATGATTAGGCCCCTAGTACCTCCTCAACTACCACTCTTTCTATGCAACCAGTTCTCCACCTTCCTGCCCCAGGGCCTTTGCACTTGCTGTTCCTCCATCTGGAACATTCTTCCACCAGGTATCTCCGTGGCACTCTCCCTCATTTCATTCAGTTCTGCACTGAATTATTCCTTCCTTTGAGAGACTTTCCTGGCCACTATATCTAAAATAGCATTTTCTGAAATTCCATCTGGACTTGTGTTGCTTTATTTCACCAATACTGCACATGATGTCAATTATCCTTTTAGAGAATTACTTTATTTTGTGTACCTTCCACCAGAGAGTAGACCCAGCAAGCCAGGCATTCTGAGTGTGCCTCCAGCAACTAGAACCACCCAGCGCATGACAGGTTTGCTTGCCACAGGAATGAATGTCTTTATGATGCATCAATGTGCTTTTAGAATAATTGACAAGTATTGAACAGCAGTTCTGTGCCGGGCATCTTGCCAGGCGTTTTACATTATCGTATCTCATATATTACTTTGCCACAGCCCTGTGAAAGAGGAATATTGTTGTCTTCTCTCTTCAGAGGCACAGATAAAGCTGAGCCAGGAGCAGGTCGGCACGGTTTTTACTTTTTTTTTTTTTAAGATTTATTTATTTATGCATACAAGAGCTGGGCCTCCACTGCCCTCAATACA